ATACGATGGGCTTTTCGACGGTTTTCGCCTCCATCGATGGGTCGTCTTAGCCGCTGTGATCCTCCGACGAGCTTTCTGACAGGGGCAGCTCTTCTAGCTTCTTACGGTTGGCCTTTTGCTTGTAACGAGGCATAGCTTCTGCTAAAGGCGATATGGGTTCTCAAAGGAGTGAATGCGATGGCTTTTTAAGATAGATGGAATAGGGTTTCTGGCGGGACGATTTTAATGAAGGAGGAAGATGAAGGGGGGAAAAGATAATCGTGGGTTGGTGGGAGGTGGCAGCGTGCTTTAAATAGAGACTCTAAGGGCCTCACTTCCCACGGTTTTTTTATTTGAAATTCAAATTTACCTCCATTTCCCGAAAATAATTACTGCCCGCTTTTTGGAAATTAATTACCGTGCCCAGCCATCTGTCCTCTCATCATTACTGCATCTTCTCTCTCTGTGGCTGTTTAATTTTCTACCCACCAACTAATCACCTGCCATTTAAATTTAATTAATTCGTCAGTAGTTAAAAAAAATTAACAGAATTTAAGCATTGCGAAATGTAAAAAATAACTAAAAATATATATACATACATACATACATATATATATATATATATATATATTTTCTTTACTTAAAGAATAACTCCTTCACGCAGGGGCAAGCTGGTGAGCTCCAGCATCCCTTGCCACATACTCCCCCCAATAATGCTTGAGTTGTTGTCCGTTTACAATGAATTCCCTGTCTGATTTTAAATCCTTGACCGTTATAGCTCCATGGGTAGAAACTTTTACTATTTGAAAGGGCACTGACCACTTAGATTTCAACTTCCTAGGAAATAGCTTGAGCCTCGAATTGTAAAGGAGAACTTGCTGTCCCTCTTCGAATTTCCTGGGGTGTACTGCGCATCATGCCATTTCTTGGTTTTCTCCTTGTAAATCTTGGCATTTTCATATGCGTCCCTTCGAAATTTTTCCAATTCTTGCAGCTGCAGCTTCCTTACTTCCCTTGTTGTAGCATAGTTTACAGTTTTGTCATTGCCCAGAATGTTTTGTGCTCTAGTTTTAGGGGTAGGTGGGACGCTTTTCCAAACACCAGCTTGTATTGGGACGTTCCTAACGGCGTTCTAAATGTCGTTCTGTATGCCCATAAAGCTTCATCCAACTTTAATGTCTAGTCCTTCCTACTGGCTTTCACCACCTTTTGTAGGATGCTTTTGAGTTCCTTATTCGAAATTTTCGCTTGGCCATTTGATCGAGGGTGGTATGCTGTAGCGATTCTATGTGTACCTAGCTAATAATCCTGCGACTGCCCTATTCACAAAATGTGTCCCTTCGTCACTTATGATCGCTCTTGGTGTGCCGAATTTGGTGATGATGTTTTTCAGTAGGAATTTGGTTACCACCTTAGCATCGCTGGTGGGGCATGAGATTGCTTCAACCCATTTAGACACATAATCAACTGCTACAAGAATAAACCGATGGTCGTTTGATGGTGGAAATGGGCCCATGAAGTCTATACCCCACACATCAAACAATTCAACTTCCAAAATATAAGTCAATGGCATTTCTGATTTCTTTGAAATATTTCCGACCCGTTGACATTCGTTGAAGTTTTTTACCAGTTCGTTCGCATCCTTGAAAATTGATGGCCACAAATAGCCACTCTGAAGCACCTTGGCTGCTATTCGTTGTCCCTCGAAATGTCCCCAATAAGGAGTAGCATGGCAACTCTTTAGTATTTGGGATGCTTCCGAGTTTGAGACACATTTTTTAAGTATATTTTCTTGCCCCAATATATACAAAATAGGATCATCACAATAGTAAAATCTGCATTCGTAGAAGAAACATTTCAACTGCTGTTTTGTCCATCCCTCTGGACGTATTGCTACTGCCAAGAAATTTACAATATCTACAAACCAGGGTTCTTCCTCTTGAGCATCTGTATACGAAACTGTGAGCAGTTGCTCATCTAGGAAGCTCTCTCTGATGGCTACAGCGTTCTTACCCTCGTCTGCTTTTATGATCCTAGACAATTGGTCGGCCACCAAGTTTTCTGACCCTTTTTTGTCCTTAATATCCACGTCAAATTCCTGTAGCAACAGAATCCATCTAATCAATCTTGGCTTTGCATCTTTCTTGGTTAGCAAATATTTCAAAGCAGCGTGATTAGTATGGACTATCACTTTTACTTCCATCAAGTAAGCGCGAAACTTCTCGAAAGCAAATACCACCGCTAGCAACTCTTTCTCCGTCGTGGTGTAGCTGATCTAAGCTTCTACCAATATTTTTCTAGCATAATAGATTGAATGCAACACTTTATTCTTCTTTTATGCCAACACAGCTCCTACTGCAAAGTCACTAGCGTCGCACATAAATTCAAATGAAAGCTACCAATCTAGGAATTGAATAATCGGAGCATGGGTGAGTGCATACTTCAACGCATCGAATGCCTGCAAACAGTCAGTAGAAAAATCAAACACTCTATAATTTTCTAACAAAGAACACAGAGGTTTAGCAAGTTTAGAAAAATCTTTTATAAACCGTCGGAAGAACCCTACATGGCCGAGGAAACTTTGGATTCCTTTAACATTAGTTGGTGGTGGTAACCGTTCAATGATGTCAACTTTGGCTTTATCTACCTCCAGTCCTTTCTTTGAAACCCAATGTCCCAATACTATACCTTCTTGTACCAGGAAATGACATTTTTCCCAATTGAGGACTAGGTTGGTTTCCTCACAGCGCTGCAGCACCCGTCGAAGGTTCGATAAACATTCAGTGAAACTGGCTCCAAAAACTGAGAAGTCGTCCATAAAGACTTCTACCACAGATTCAACCAGGTCTAAAAATATAGCCATCATGCATATCTAGAATGTGGCTAGAGCGTTGCACATACCAAAGGGCATCCTCCTGAAGGCTAAAGTTTCATACGGGCAAGTGAATGTTGTTTTTTGTTGATCTTGAGGGGCTATAGTTATCTGGTTGTACCACTGTATCTATCAAGGAAGCAGTAATACTCTTGCCCAACTAGTCTGTTCAGCATTTGATCAATGAATGGCAGCGGAAAATGATCATTCCTGGTAGCTTTGCTGAGTTTCTTGTAGTCCATGCATATTCTCCATCTGGTAATTGTCCGAGTGGGAATTAGCTCATTCTTGGCATTCTCAACCACTGTCATTCCTCCCTTCTTTGGAACGCACTGCAGTGGACTTACCCACTCACTGTCTCATATTGGGTATATAATTCCAGCATCCAGCCACTTTATATGATCTATTTTTTTACAACTTCTTTTATCGCCGGATTGAGCCTTCGCCGCGGTTCTACTGAATTTTTGCAGTTCTCTTCTAAAACAATTTTGTGCATACAGTAACTGGGGCTTATTCCTTCAATATCCGCGATTTTCCATCTGATAGCTTTTTTTGTTCGCTCAATACTACTAGCAACTCATTCTCCTTTTCCGCTGTTAGGTCTGCGGCAATTATAATGTGCAACGTTTCGAATGTTCCAAGGTAAGCATACTTTAGATGCTTCGAGAGGACTTTTAATCCCAGTTCTGGTGGTTCCTCAATAGATGGCTTCAACTGTGTACGTCCTCTAAACCTAAGCTCTCGTGGACTCTTGACCAAGTTCTTGCTAAATTGCTCGCACAGTCCAAATAGATAATTTCTTGGCATATTTCATCAACTTGCTCCAGCATAATATCCACTTCACTGTTCTGCTGCTCCAACATTACCTCTGCACTGAATGATTCCAGGACAGCTTCGTCTAGAGCTCGCTAGACTGCACACTCTTCAACATCAGAAGGGTACTTCGTAGAGTTATAGACAGAAAATTTGATTTCTTGATCCTACACTCTTATCGTTACTTCTCCTTTATGCACATCCATAAGTGCATGCCCCGTGGCCAATAATGGCCTCTCTAGGATGATTGGCACGTCTTCATCTGCATCAAAATCAAGAATAATAAAATCAGCTGGAAATATAAACTTGTCTACTTGTACCAGAACATCCTCGATTTTTCCTTCCGTGTTTGCAATTGAGCGATCTGCCAGCTGTAGTATGACTATCCTTGGTCTCACTTCTCCCATGCTCAGCCTCTTGTATACTAACAGCAGCATTAAATTAATGCTTGCTCCCAGATTGCACAAGGCTTGACTAATCTTATGACCTCCAATGGACACCGAAATTGTAAAGCTTCCTGGATCTTTCATTTTTTCTGGAATCTTACTGGTTAGAATTGTGCTACACTCCTTTGTTAAACATACAGTTTCAAATTCTCCTTGTCTGTGCTTTTTAGTTAAGACATCCTTCAAAAATTTTACGTAAAGTTGGCATTTGTTCGAGTGCCTCCACCAGTGGAATGTTGATATGAATTTGCTTAAGCACCTCCAGGAAGCATTTAAACTGCCCCTATTGATTCTTCTTCTGCAGCCTTTTTGGGTATGGTATTGCAGGTACATATGCTGCAGTATTTGTTGGAGCTTGACGTTGTTCTGGAAGCTGTTGTTTCCCAGGTGACTTTGATGTGGATGCTTTAGCTTTACCTATCTTGTCTGCCCCTTCTGTGTTCTTCTCTTCAGACAATTGTTGCTTTAACTCTGCAGTATGTGTTGGTGTCTCACTGTCTGCCAACTGTTCTGCTTTTGAGTTTTTCTCAGAGTTCACTAATCCATCTGATGTTGTATGTTGCTCTACTTCCTTGAGTGGATCCAATATCACTTCTCGTTCCTCGTTAACGCCTGCTTGTTCATACGCCGATTGTACTGCCCTACCGCTTCTCAACGTTAAGGCCTTGCATTGTTCCTTTCCATCTCATTTTGGCTGCTCAGTATCGCTCGAGTGCTTCTTTTAGTCTGCTTTTTTATTCTGTTGCCAATTGGCCCATTTGTAATTCCATGTTGTGCAAAGATACTGCCAGACTCTGCAGCAATGCAGCTTGGCTTTGAACGTTAGCATCATTCTTTGTCATATATGCCTTGAACATATCTTCGAAACTCCGTGTTTCTGGCTATTTTTGGGTGGTCTGTTGATATTGATTCTGCTCTGAGAATCCTGGAGGGTACTAAGCCTTCTAAGGATACACTTGTGTGTTACTTGACCCAACATTATTGCCCCCTTGGTTTCCTCCCCAACTAAAGTTTGGGTGATTTCTCCAGCTCAGGTTGTATGTGTTCCCATACACATTATTGATGTTTGGTTGCGGGTTGCCTAAATAAAATACTGATGCAAGATTACTTGTGCAGTTTTCAAAATGGTGTTCTCCTTCACAATAAGGACGGAGATTGCTTTGTATAGCAGCTACCTTTGCCTTGGTTGCTATGGCTTCACTCGCGATTGCACTTTTCATAACGATGTCAGCTAGGCGTGAAATCTTTGAGTTCAAATCTGCGACTACATCGTCTGTTACTAACCTTGTGGGGCTTGCTGCTATCAATGCTGATCGAGACTTAGACCATTGATGTTTGTTCCATGAAATCCTTTTTAAAATGTCAAAGGCTTCCGAGTATGGTTTTGATAACAAAGCTCCGTTGGCTGAAGCATCAATTATCAATTGCATCACCTCATTCAATCCATTATAGTAAGTCTCAATTTGTATGCAATGTGATATTCCATGATGAGGGCATTCTTATCCATGATTCACTCAGGGATTCTCCTGGTAGTTGCTGAAAGTTGTTAATTTTGTTTCTAAGTTCAGTATTCTTCGATGGTGGAAAACATTGCATCAAAAAAATTTCTATTAGATCATTCCATAATGTGATCGATTCAGTAGATAAAGAGTCCAACCATGCCCCGACATTGTCCTTTAGAGAGTAGGGGAATAGCTTTAATCCTATAGCTTCCTTACTGGTTCCAGATTCTTTAAATGAATCTGCCACTTGCATGAATTATCTTAAGTGTCTGTGGGGATCTTCTGATGTCAGCCGATAAAATGGTCCCACCGTTTGCAAAATCTTAAACATTGTCCATTTCAGCTCAAATCTGCCCACTTCTATAATTGGATCTGCTATCACAAGATTGAAGTCATAGAAAGCTGGGGCTGCATATGCTCTAATTTCCTGCTCTGTATCATCTGCAAGCAAGACAACATTTAAGGGAGGTACTGGGACTCCAGCTCCAGTCCTAACCCCTTCTATCATTTTCATCTCCTGCTCAGGCCGAATTGGTGCATCTGGGTTCATGCCTCTTTCCTTGCCTTGTATTCGCTGCTCAACCTTTCTCCTTCTCAATGTACGCTCTGGTTCTGGGTCAAAAGCAAATTCAAACGTAGGGAAGTCGTTCATCCACTGCTCAGTTCAGATGAAACACAAGATTGAAAGGCTACTTAGTCACCATGATTCAAAATATCTCCCACATTCAAGTTATAAATCCTAATCCTCAACAACGGCGCCAAAAACTTGTTAGCTTCCTCACAACTAGGGGAGAATTGGTGCAAGTATACACCAAAACAATTCATTGTAGTATAAAAACAGGGTCGTCTCCACAGGGACTACAGAATAAAGAACTGATTTGGGAAGTTTGAATCACACATGAAAAACAAAAGGAAAAAAAAATCAAAGGTCAAATAATTCAGTTTTTAAAACTATCAAAATTAAACAAGCAATGGAAACCAGCTGCTGCAAACTCCCAGCACACCCTAAAGCAGTTGGCAACAAAGACTAGAAACACATGGAAGAAATGAATGATAAGGAAATCGGGGAACGGGGTTTCCTTAGCGCTGCTCTTTTGTTCGAAGGGCTGTCACCGCTCAATACTTCAACTAATGCTGCCCAAATCTCCACGGCTCTTTTCCAAGATACCCTAGATGCAATTTAGTCCAATTCCCACCGTAACTAAAATACTCACAATACACGATCTGTAGGCACTGTATGGTAAACTTCATCCCTAGGTATTCACCCTCCTTTCTAATCAAGGACTAATACAGCTAAAAGAAGCTACTCTACTTAACGAGGGCTCTTCCAAACCTCAGGCAAGAAAACACACTAAGTAAGTAGGCCCACAAGCGTAGTGAGACAAGAATTAAATACACTTCCATTAAACATTCATTGAAGTTGAACAAGACAAACCACGAATAAACAGCAAATGTTGGGACTATCCCTTCCTCGAAGGTGAAGGTTAGTTCATATTAAAATGACAAAAGAAAAAAGCAAAGGGTGAAGCCACATCATATAACTTCCCAACTCCCCTGCATTTTGTAGGGGAGTTTTATTTTAAATTAATATTATTATTATCAATTAATAATAATTAATCATATATATAATTAATTAATCATATTAATTAATTATTAATTTAATTAACAATTATTTAAATATTTAAATATATATATATATATTAATAAATAATTAACATTTAATTATTTATTTCCAAAAATAGAATCATATTCTAAGGCATTTATCTTTAATAAACTATGGTTGTGATGTATATCTTATGCACATTAATTTTAACCTATAGTTTTAATATGAATCTTATTCATATCAATTTTTATTTGAACCTCATTCAAATAATTTCTCTCATAATTAATTATGAATCTTTATCCAAGATTAGTATATATTTATATATAACGTATCAATATACATTATATACATTCCCTTTTATAATTTGAACACTTCAAATTATTTCGTAATTCTTGATCCTCCCCGTGTGAGCTAGTGAGGGGACCTAATAGACCTACAGATCAGAAGCTCCAACGATACGAGATTAATCGGTTAAACTCATTGACCGAGTTAATCAACATTCGTTAACTATAGGTCACTCTACTAAAGACTCGTAGTTGCACTCTTCTCACTGCAAAATATTTTTGTGTCCACAGATATACAACTGTTAATGGCAAGTCAACCCTTCACGAGTACTCGTAACTCAAGTTGGGTCAAATTACCGTTTTACCCCTGAGTTACATCTTGCTCTTTAAATACCACTGTTCCTCTAATGAACAATCCGGTTATGGTCCGACCAATAACCGGAAGTCCCTCTCAGGCCAATGAGAGGGCGGGGCTTTTTATTCAAGTCCCGGAGTCAGAATTTAAGAGAATACTCATCTACTCCCATAATGTTAGGAGTGAATTCCATCTTGTGAAGTTATGTTCCAGCTCCGCACTCGGTCTCGTCCCCAAAATGGTAGGAATGTTGAGTCGGCAACTCGGGCCACTCTCACCCATACAGATCAAAGGACGAGCCCTCACAG